TAAATACTGCCATTAAAGAAGGAATCAACTATGATTGCTTTTCTTAATTCGAGTTTGATCAATAATAAATTAGTACTTCGCTCATATTAAGAGTGTAGCTCAAACCATAATTATATTATCAAACATCATTTTTATCTTGGAACAAGTAACTTTAAACATCATGAACCACTTTTGCTATGAAATCACAAACAATTAAACATTTAAATTATCTACACAAATCATAAAACCATTACCTTCTTTACTAAATAAATTGGGATTGTTTGTGTAGCTTTATTTTTATTTTTTTTTAATTTTGTCCTTTATTTTTTTTTCCCTACTTCTCTATTTCTTTTTCAATTTTGCTATTTTTCTTCTCTGTTTAATCGTTAAATTTTTTAAATATTTTTTCAAGTTATTTTTAGACTGACCAAGTTGACTGGATTATGTCGAGACAAAACTCTCACATGGTTTAATTTTTTACTTGGGCTAGGTAAGGAGTCCAGTTGAGAGGTTTTTTTTTTCTATTTTTTTTTTAATTTCATCCCTAGATTTTCTTTATAATTCGGTTGGGCTACTTTTGGATTGACCAAGATAACTGAGTCACGACAGAACAACTCCTACACAATTTAACTTTAAATATAAGCTAGGTTAGGAGTTGGATTTAAAGGTTTTAAATTTAACCCTCATGGTGAATTTAATAACAATTTCAAATAATTTTCTATAACCTGAAATTTTTTTGTTACATTCAATTTTTTTTTTATCTAACCAGCAGTGTAACACAGGCTTGTAAAATAATATGATCTATAATACTTCTCATATATGATTTACACAAAAAACTCAAATAAGTGACGATCATCAATGTAATAATGACTAACAACCTTTTTGTTTATTGATACAATCTATATTGAAGCTCCATTCAGGCAAACCAAGTTGATGATGTTCCTAACCCAATCAAGTCAACCTAGGTTCATTTTGGTTCAAGGTTTATTAGGGTTTCATATGGTAGCAATATGAGATATGTTTAGGCTTTATCTTGAGTCCATTATGGATTTTAATTATTTGTGTGGGTTTTAACAACAAAGTTTCTTAGTTTGGAAATGAGTAATTAATGTTTCAAAGTTCTTTTATCACAAAGACTTAAATATTATTGCTACACAAGAAAAAAAGGGCTGATAACAATATTTGTGTGCTTATTTTTGGAAAGTTTCTATGTGGTAAAAGGAGAGCAATAAAGGCCAAAGCAAAGAGAAACATTCATTGTTATTGCCTTTCCATGTTTTGCAAGAATCCCATACTTTTTAAGGAAGCTAAAGGGGTGACATTTAAAGGATTTAATCAACAATTAAAACACAAGTTTTTCTAGCGTTCTTGAAACATCAAAGGTGGCTCCAATGATCTTGAACCTTCTAAGCTACTAATTTCATCTATAAGGGATTTTTAAGCAAATAAAACATTTATTTTGAGAAATTTATATTGTTTCATGCCAATTTATGTTATTATTTGGGTTTTGTGCTCTTTTTATCAATTCTCATTTATTTTGAACTTATTTTGTTTTAGTTTGGGTTTTATTTTTTAAATTGGTTTCATTGCAACCCATTAGTTATTATTTAGAGTATATTAAGTATTTTGAATTTTAGTTTTAGTTAGGTTTTGTTTTTTCCCCTTTGGTTTATGATTTAAAGGGGGTTTATTGAAGCTATTTAATGAGATTATTTACGAGCATGTGTGCTTTAAATTTTAACAACCTTGTTATTTGAATCAGATTAATGTGTTTTTTTTAGAACAACATCTATCTTTTTAGTTATCAAAGAACAATCAAACTTATCAAAGTATAACTAGCTTTATGATATTTTTTCTATACTTGAGGTTTTTGGTTTATATAATTAATGGGTCCAGGTTCATTTCAATATCTTTGGTTATCTGATTTAGGTAATCTTTGGGTCAAGGTTCGTTTTGCAATTCAATTTTTGGCTTTTTGAGTTTGTCATTTGCTTCATTGTGGATTTAAAAGCTTTTACTTTTTAAGTTCGTATTAGTTGGTATCAGAGCTTGGCTTTAAAAATCGAGTTCTATCTATCCTTTTAACTTTTTATTTTTTAGGTTTCATTTCACATTTGAATTCTTTTGTTTTCTTATGTTCTTACTATCTAAATTAGTGTTTTAGGATCTTAGATAAAAAAAAAAAAAGAAGTTTATATTCTATCCATAATTGTCTATTTAGGTAAAAAATAAAAAGCAAAATCATAAAATACAACAAGGCTATTACAAATCGGGTTCTATCAAGAAATTACAAGTGTCAAATTTTTGGTTCATAAATCAATTCTTACATGGTTCATTGGTTTAATTTTTTAGGTTCTTTATTTCCAAATTTATAGCTTTATTAGTTTGGGTGTATAGAGTTCAATATTGAATTTGGGTCACATTTTTTATTCCCATTGTGTTTTATCTTATTAAGAGGAGTGAAAACACTTGAGGTAGTGAGTAAGAATATAATTTTGTTACCACTAGCATGAATTTTTTAAAATTACAACATGTTTTTTAATGAAGCATCACCACCAAGAAGGAAGTACAATCAGGATTTTTAAGCCCTATAATAACAACTAGAGAGGATGACTTTGATGTTTGGTGAGATGCAAGACCAAATATAGAGGTAAGAGGCCAAAATTGCTACTTTGCAAGGTAGGGTAGATAAAAGGCATCCTAATCCAATTTTTGTTAAGGGTGTTGATGAGAGTGAAGATGGGAGGGATGAGAACTATGATAATGCATCAATAATCCATGGAGATAGGTTTCAACAACCTAAGAATCAAAGGGATAAGGGCTTTTAGCATGATGGTCAATTCAATTATAGGGATAATTTTGGGAATCTTAGGCATCGTAATGAATTGAATAGGAGTTTGGGTAACATCAAGATAAATTTTGACATTTCAAGGGAGGAATGATCTTGAGACTTATTTAGAATGAGAGAACAAGATTGAACTAATTTTTACTATCACTATTATTTCAAAAGGAAAAAAGTAAAGCTTGCCATTATTGAATTCGTTAACTATGCTATTATTTGGTGAGATCCAGTTATTATAAATAATAGAAGAATTCATAAGAGGCCCATTAAATCCTAGGAGGAGATAAAGGTCATTATAAGAAAGAGGTTTGTTCCTAGTTATTATTATAAGGAGTTATATAAAAAATTATAGGGTTCAACTCAAAGGACAAATAGTGTTGATCAATATCACAAGGAGATAAAGATTATGATGATTAGAGTGAATATGGTGGAGGATAGGAAAGCCACCATAGCTAGTTTTTTGAATGAGTTGAATCGTGAGATTATGAACATTGTAAAGTGACAACACTATATAAAGTTAGATGATATGATGTATATGACTACCAAAGTGGAAAGGTAGCTTAAACAAAAGGGTAGCTTATAATCAAGCTAATATATGAGTCCTTCATCATTATTGAAACCTAATTGGAATGTGGATGTGGGGGTTGCCCAATCTCAACCTAACATGAAGAGTAGGTACAACCCTCCTAAAGATAAGAAAGACATCTATACTAATAGTAGAGGTAAAACTAAAACTTTTACATCTTGTAATAATGATATAACATGTTTTCATTATTTAAGAATGGGTCATATTGCTTCACAATGTCTAAACAAGTGAGCAATAATTATGATGGCTTATAGTAAGGTTTTGATTGATAGTGAAGGTAGTAACGAGGAAGAGATGCCATAACTTGAATATGCCAAGTGATGATGAAGTGTAGTATGTAGTTAAGAAAGAAGCACTTGTAGGTAGACAAGTATTGAATATGCAAGTTAAAGTGGTTGATTTGAAGAAGCAAAGAGAGAATATCTTTCACACGAGATGTCATGCTCAAAATAAAGTATGTGGTATGATTATAGATAGTGGAAGTTACACTATTGTAGCTGTTACTTCTTTAATAGATAAATTGAATTTGCAGATTACAAAGCATCCTATGCCTTATAAATATATTTTTTAAGCCCGGTCTAAGGATTGACCCAGTTAAGGGGTTGTGTCCTGGTTTTCATGGGTCAACCCTGAAAAAAATTAAATTTTTTAATATTTCATATGATTTTTTTAAAAAAATCATGTAAATATATGTTATATATGTTGTAAATAATAAAGTTTTAAAAAATATTTTAAATTTTTTTATCAAATTCTTATATTTTACTCGTATTAATTTATAAATATGAAGGTGAAATAATCAACATCAACCATTCTCCAATAATAATCCATTTCAGAAGTTTGTTGGCAAAACAAGACAGAGGGCAAGATAGAAAATTCACCAACACATAGCCAACATGTATATAAACAACCCTTTCAAAATCAAAACCCTAATTTATAAAGCAGCAATACTTTAAGGAAAGTGAAAGCTTTTGCCTTGGCAATGCATGACAACTTCTCAACATCACGAAGAAGACTCTGAAGATGACTTATACCCCTTCAAGATCCTTCTACTAGATAACAAAAATGGATTCTCTAAACTACAACATGACACACTAGCACAGGAAATACAACAACATTACATCCTTTTAAACAAGTCAACGGTCATAATCAAACAACTCTTATCACAAGGTCTTTCCTTCTAGCTTTGGCCAGCAGCTCTAACTCTCTTCACTTTCTTTGGCAGCTATAACATTAACCCTTTATCACTCATTCTTGATATAATATCCAACAAGTCTCGTTCGGGTTTGCCCCGATCACCCGGGTTATGGGTTGACTAGCTGAGTTGACAGGATTTTGCTGAGTTATTGCCCAGACCGGTCTTTTATTAAAGCCAGACTAGTCCAACCACCAGGTTGACTAGATCCTAGGTCAACCTGTCGGGCCAAGTTAAAAACTATGCTTATAAACTTTAATGGTTTAATAATTGTGGTGAGGTGAAGGTGATAAAATAAGTTTCAGTTTCACTCTCTATTAAAAAATATTATGATAAGGTGGTATATGAAAAGGGCAATAAAAACAATCCTAGACTTTCTAAGATATTGATTTTGGCTATAAGAGTTCTTAAGCAAGAAAAGTCTTTGTTATAGGCTATTTAAGTTTCTTTATGCTAAGCTAAGTTATTAATTGGGTTTGTGCACTTTTTATTTTTTATAATTAATTTTAGACTTGTTTAGTTTTAATTTGGATTTTGTTTTTTAGATTGAGCTCGTGACAACTCATTAGTCATTGTTTAGGGTTTATTAAGTATTTTTGAGTTTTAATTTTAGTTGGGTTTTCTTTTTGGCATTTGATATACAATTGAAAGGGAATTTATTAGAGTTATTTGATAATATTATTTAAGTGTTTGTATACTGTAAATTTAAGTAGCCTTGTTATTTGAATTGAATTTATGTGTTTGCTTATCCAAGAACAATTAACTTATCAAAGTATAATTAACTTTATAGTTTACTTAAGGTTATTGGTTCATTAATTATTGAATCTAAGTTCTTTGCATTACCTTTGTTTCTTTGATTAAGATAATCTTTGGGTCAATGATTTTTTATTATGAGTTCAAGGGTTCAAATAATTTACATCCCAATATAACAATACATAAAAAAAGTGAAGACCAAAGAAAAAAACTATAACAAGTAGGGTCGTTGATTAGTACTTAAAAGTGTATTTTTATCAAGATTTTATATCATCATTTTGCACTTGAAGTATCAATAACTCCTTAACTAAAGCATGTTTTATAATAATGTATCTAATAATATAAGATACCTTTAATTATGGTAAATATTAATTTTAAATACAGGCCTATCACATAAATGAAAGGATTGATTGATGAATTTAAGAACTGAAATTGAAAGGACAAAGAGATGGCCAAACTTAGAAAAGACATGTCGGTGCAATCCAAGCCGAAACACTGTTTGATAATTTGATCATATCTGAAGATATAGATCTCAAATTTAGGTCTACTTTGTATGGATGGAAAGGTAAGACATATGCCTACAACTTTCATAGGAGCCCAAGATCTAAAAAGGCTATTTTCAAGTCCAAATTGTAGCAATAACAAAGAAGTCCGAATTTGTCTTCTAGCCCGAACACTTTCAGTGTTTGGCCTATATATGGAGTTCTAAAAGTCCAAATAACCTGAATTTTTTACACAAGAAATATGAGATAATTTCCTACAACTTTCATGTTTTCAAGTGGCTCCAATTTTGATGTTA